AATCGATCTACCAATCTTGTCATTAATCTAAAGAAAATACAATCTAAAAAAAAAAAAAAAAAAAAAAGAAAGAATTATTGGAATTTCTAAAATTTCTAAGTCTATGGTCTATGATAAGCGCCATTATTAATATCTAAAAAAAAGAAAAAAATTCATAAATTTAGGCTTTCATCTAAGGATGATAACTATAAAATCACAATGTTACTTGCGTAATCGATTTCTATTTTAGTAATAAAGCTTAGTTCAAACCTAATATCATAAAGTTAAATGAAATTATGGAAATAATACAATTACCGTACTTTGATGAATTAATGCTTAAACCATTTGCATTAAATTTGCAGTTTATTAATGAAATTATCAATGCTCAAAAACATCAGTTACAATTCCGATTAGAAGTACGGTAGAATTCGGGAATAACTAAGAGGTCAAGCTAACTATATTAGCTCTATTAAAGTTCAGGTATAATATTGTGGCGGATTTGCATTGTACAAGAATATATTTTGCATTAATTACATTTTGGAACATTCATTACAATTCAGTTTTTTTTTTTTCAAAGAGATTAATTTAAGATTTATTCATCCAATCTTTTCCTTCAATTTCCATATTTCAGATCCAAGTGTTTTTTTTTTGTTTATTATACATATTTTCATCTTGCACTGATAATTCCCTCAGTTGACAGTTGCACCATTAGGAATTTGTCACCATATAGTCATCACCACAATAGTTATAACTTCTGCTATGTTCCACAATCCATTTTTGTCCTTCTTTTCAGTTTCCTAGAATCCAATGGTCAAATAATTCATATTTGAATGATGGACATATAACTCACGATGAATAAAAAAATTTGACTATAAAAGTAAAATTAAACACTACGAGAAATGAATGAAAAATAAGTTCATTTATATGCCTTAATTACATCAAATGCTTAATTTCCTTGAATTTTTGCTAAATAATATGAGCGTTATTGGTCACTGATGACCATTAGGTTATTAGCCACTGGTGACCGTTAATTTTGGAATGAAGACAACAAGAGAATGAATGAAAAATAAGTTCATTTATATGCCTTAATTATTTCAAATGCTTAATTCGTTGAATTTTTGCTAAATAATATGAGCGTTATTGGTCACTGATGACCATTAGTCTTGGAATGATGGCAATAAAAGATAAAATGATCATTGCTATCCTACAAATGAATGACAGGAGAAGAAATGAATGATAGCTGATAGCTTATCATGCTTATCCAATCATAATGTATTAGGCATATTTTAATGTTTTTCATTTTTCTTCATAAATTTTGTTGAGGAACGCTAGGATGAAAATGTTTTAAGCATTTTTATGTGTGAAGAAGCTACTATGTTGTAGTTTTTAAAGTCATTTCAAATCTTGTCATCTGTATGTCCAATGGAGTAGTAGATGGTTTAATGTATTTGTTTACTTTAGGAATTATTCCCGAATGAATTACTATACTACACTTCTCATTTCGCTTTTTAAAAGAAAAAAAAAATCTGATTTTACAATTTGATATGAAAAATCATTTAAGAGTATTTAACATTAAATATTCAATTAAAATTAATTAATCAATTAGAGATCACATTTTGCATTCTTTTCCAATGGAAACAAATGGAAGGAATTGTACAATAATTATAAATTTATTATTACTTTTCACTTTCCATGGCATCAAAATTGAAATATTCGAATAAATGGGTAAAACAAAAGATTGCGAAATAGGAGAGAAATTAAATTATGTTTCTATTTTATTTCATATTATTTGATGCTTAAAAAAATTATTTCCAAGCAAATTCTTCCTTATCAAAAAAAGAATTCTATTTTTTTTTTCTTTGATTTTAAACAAGCAAATGAGCAATAACAAAGATTAAAATGATTAACTGATAAACTGATTATGCCATAAAGGACAGTATGATAAGGATAGCTTCGAAGAGTTAATTTGTTTTTTTTTTTTTTTGCAATCAGTTAACAATTGAAATTATTATTATTTTTTTCCAAGCTTTCTGCTTTTTATCAAATTCATTCTTACAGGGCAAAATTTAAAGAGACGAAGATAATTAATTAAATTGAAAAAGATATTACTGGATATAATTCATTTCAGTACAACATTTATGATAAAATAAATGAATAATGATAGTGGTGGTGATAATGAAAAAATTAATGATAGAAAGTGAAATAGTAAGCTAATGGAAAAGCATTAATTAAATTAAGAAATAAAATTGAAATATGTTCAAGCGCAAGTTTTAAGACTTATAAAATTCTTATTTTCTTCATTTTTTTTTTTTTTAAACAAACATTTGCAACAATTGTAAAAATTTTCTTGCCCTGACAAAAATTGAAATTTCTAATTTTAAGCTTTTGAAGCAAACATTTCTTCCTGATTTATCAATAAAATGAAACATTTTTTAATTCAATTTAATTAATTACCTCAATAAAATAATTAGTTTTTCGAAAACAAATATTTGTTAAATTTAATTAATTAAATGTAATCAATGAAAATTTATCCCTCTTTAAGCATTCAAATTTTCAATCATCAATTTTATACCCTAATTATCTCCCTTTTGATTGATAAGACATAGGCTAGGCTTTTCTTCTGCACCTTAATCATTCCTCTTATCTCTTTCATTTTGTCTTTCTTCAACATCATGTCATCATCGATGATGACCTATGGTCAAATTCTTCTTCACCTTCGTCTCTTTTCATTTTCTTTCCTTTTCCTCTCCTCCATTCCCTTACCTTTCTTTCCCTTTCACATCCTCCATCTAAATCATATTCTCATTCCTCTGTTCACATTATTAGATACATTCTTTACATTACGACAATCCCCAGCATACTTTCATGTGATATGCGACATTCTTCCCTCTTCTTTCATTCTTCCTAGCAATCTTTAATCATTCCATTTAAAATTTCTTCTTCCTTTTATCTCTGATACTATCAGCCTTTGTTTGATTTTGTATGTGTGTCTGTCTATGTCTGTGTCTGTGTGTCTGGGTATGTGTATATGTCTAGAACATTTCGAGCAAAAAAGTGAAACAAACAGAGAACCATTCGGTCTGTACATTGTGATTTACCCTTTTATGCTAATTTGCTATTTAAATGAATCCCAGCACTAAACACACACATACACACACATACACACATACACACACATACACACACACACACACACATACACACATCGTTTTCTCCCATCTTTGAACATAGACGCATGGCGCACATTGTCGCGCTACGTTACGCATCACTCATCAGCAGTTCACTTCTGTCCGTTAACTTTCCATCTCCAATTTACTCATATAAGTTCCATTTCTTCTCTTATCATCATTAGATGAATCTTTTCCTTTGAAATATCAATGGCGGAAATTCACTATTCAATTTGCGCCTCTTCCCTACAATTTGCGCCTCTTTTATATCATATCCAATAACCTAATAAGAAGTGAACACATTGATATGCATCAAAATAAGAGTGCATTGCCCCCCCTACCCCACCTTGAAAGTCCTTTCAGTCATTTTCCACTTTCTTCGTAAATCCTTTTCTTCATTATCAATCAATACTTTTGTTATCAATGATAGTATTAATGATATGCTACAATGATAGTATTAATGGTATGCTATCAATAGTTGTAGACATACATACATATCTCTTTTATTATCAATACTGATCAGATAAAATGATAGATCGTTATCTTTCTTTTTTTTTTCAATTTTATAAAATGAGATAGTATGAAGATAGAAGAATGGAATAGAGGGAGTTTAAATCATTTACAATCATTGATTGTTGAATGATGATAATACATTTCTCCTTTTGATATGCAAATTAGCACTTACCGCTAAACGCAACTGAGAAGCACAGCGTTTTTTTTTTTTCTTTATCATATTTGATAGAAAAACACTGATATGAATTGTTTTCTAACAGAGCATAAAATTGTTATCAGCTTTTACCAACAATCAAATATGATTTATTACTCCTTGAGGGAATTTCAAATTTAGTGACAAATGTCGCAGTTATATTCTTCTCTTTTTTTTTCTTTTTTAAGATTT